ATATATATATATATATATATATATATATATATGTAGTTTGTACTTTGAAGTGTAGAATAGGATAGTGTTCAATGTGAGAAAGTGAAAAAATGAGAGTACAAATTTGGTCAACACCGAATTACTTTTCCCTAAAATTACGCTCATGAGGCATGTTTTATTTATCTTTTGTGATGTTTTATTGTCTCTTTTTTCTGAATTAGTTGAGACCGTGAGATTGAATAGAAATTAGGAATTCAAATTGAGAGAGCTCAAAAGGGCTACATTTGTTGGAAATAAGAGAGAGCGAGGACCCTAGCAGGTAGCTTCACTAACGTGGTGGCAAGATGTGATGACAGCAATAAGGGAGAATGAAGCAATAGATGAAAGAAAGAGGAGGAAACAAAGGTGCACTCCTTCCTGTTTTGTTTTCATTTACACATTCATACCAGAGGTAGGTTTTCTTCTTATTCCTCTATTTTCATTTTCCCCTTGGTGCCATTTTATAAATTTTATCATTTTATTCTCTCTTGAATTTAAATAGTTCTATATTTTCCTAACACCGCTTTATTTTTATATAATTTAGTTTTATGTATTTAGATCTTGTCTTTTCTTTCACAATTGATTGTGCTATGTTGATTTAGGAGGATTTTTTGGTTGGTTTGTTGGGATTTTTTATCTCTTTTTTATTTTGTTAATCATGAGATTATTGATGCAACAACGGGTTTTTCATTGGATTTGTGATAGCACACAAAGGAACACCCCTGACGTCAGAAAACTATGTTTTGGTCTCCCAACGGATTGCCTTCAATCCCTGTTTGCTTACATCTTTCTCAATCTCTCAACTTCCTTTCAACTTAGACTACCACCCTAACTACCCTGTATTTATTTTTTCAAAGTTTAGGTTTAACCATTTGATTGTGTTTCAGGCTTCTGGGTGGGTTATCTTACTTGCATTCACACACCTTCTGATGAAGTTTCTTCCTTTTTACTATTTTTGTTCCTTTTTTGCATATATGTGTTTGAATTTGTTTGATTTTATGCTTTAAAAGAATTTTCTTTTTGGCTGTGTTTTTTGTGGTGTTTAGATCAGATTCCGTACTTTGAGGCTGGTGATTGTGTGGCATGTGATAATGAGAAGGAGGGGATCATTGAGTACATGAAAAGTGATGTGGGTGATTTAGATATTGGGGTTTCTTATCTCCTTGTTTGAATACCAATCAAAGTGATGCTGGGAATTAAATAGGGGATTCTGAGGTGTCAGCTCATCAGTTTCATGGTCATGTGATTCCAGAACATTACTGAAAGCACACTGATTTTTTAGCTTGATATCCAACACACCCTTTCAATCCAAATATCTTCATATTGAAAGCAAGTGCCTTGTTGCTTCCCCATTTCATGCATTAAAATGCGCAAGCTCCCGATTCAAAGCTCTCAAACGGTAAACCAAACTTGTTGTAGATATCTTATTTGAGCCAGTCGATTTCTTAGAGAGAACAAATGTTTCTGAAGAAGAAAGCTCAGAGTCGCAGAAGGCAGTACACTTGAATGTGGAATTTTGGAATGTACATCTTTAGTGTAAACCTCCCCAGGAAGGGCATATATGACAAACTACTCTGACTTGATTCTTAAAAGTCTTCATCAAATGAAAATTGTTGATTGAAAATGTTGAAAATAGTCTTCAGATTTCAATTGCAGAACACTTTGGAGATGAAGCAGCAAAATATTACTAGGCATCCTACGGCTTTATTTGTGACCAACATCAATTTGCATGTTCGATATGCCGTAAATAAAATTTATGTAAGATATCACATCACATTTGGCTTGTGCATTGACCAACCTCTCTATTCTGTCTTTAAAGTGTTTGGGGATGTACTTTGTTTTGAGACAAAACTTTAGTATGGTACCATAGATACTGTTGTTGTTGTGCTCTAATCAAAATTGGAGTTTCACTTGAATAATATGCACAATAAATGTTCATTAAATGTAAATGCTGATTATAAGGTAAGACTCTTTCTGGTTAGAGAACAATACCGATAATATCTATAGTATTGAAGCTAAGTTGTCCTTGTTTTGATTTCACAGTCATAGCAATGGAGCTTTAACTTTTGCTGATGGTGTTTGCAGACATCCACAGGAAATTATTGATAGCCGTGAACCCTTTTCAAATGTTACCTTTTTTTGTCTGAAACTAGTACCATGGCAAGGTATAAAGTTTTGGCTTTTGGTGAGTAGAGCCCACATCCTTTTGCAATTGCAAGTTCTGCATATAGGTATCTTGTTGCTACTCTCAGTTTTTTGTGCCTTGGTCATGACTTTAAACTATTCTATGCTTTAAGATGATAATAGGTCCAGATAATTTTATAGCTCAAAAGGAAAGAAAAAATCTGAAATATCAATTTTGACAACTGAAGCATTACATGGTATGATGTTTGATAGAAAGTGTCAAACTGTGTCCTCTTTGCCTTTATTGATAACTTTGTATACATTATAAATTTATAATAACGATGACCGTTTGCAACACATTTTTTAACAAACCCTTTTTAATGTTAAAATTTATTGAAAATTACAAAATAACGAATAAATTTCATGAAAGTAGTAAAACTGACAAAATTTTGTAATTTTCTAGTACAACCCGTACCCGATGATACCGCGACCGCTACTCAATTTTTAAAAAATGAGTCGTAGAACCAATATCATCTAGTTCATCAATAATTGGGATAGGAAAATGGTCTTTTATAATGACAACATTGAGTCCACAATAATCCATACAAAATTACCACAAACTATATTTTCTTTAAGCAATAAAAGGGGAAAAAGGGGTTTTTTTTTTTTTTTTTTGGAGTGATAATGCCATCTTGCAACACATTATTGATTAGTTGGGTCATGGTATCTTTTTGTGCATGGGGTAACAATATGGTTTGACATTGATGGGTGGGGTGGAGGGAAGTAAATTAATATGATGATCATGGGAGAATGAAGGGGGTAAACCATGAGGTTTATCAATAACATGAGGAAAAGCTATAAGTATTTGACAAATATTTGGGGAAATGGAATCAGGAAGAGTAGTGATAGCAATATCAGGTGAAGTGGTTAGGGGAGTGAAAGATAATAATGCCAAAGCAATAGCACTGGTGTGCATGGCATGACACAATTAGTGAAAGGTAGAAAGTTAAGGTGAAAAGGAAGGATTACCTAGGAGAGTGATGGGTTGATTGTTATGAGTGAAGTATAAGGAAGGTTTGGTAAAATCAACTTAGATGGACCCAAGAGTCCTCAACCAATCCATTCCTAAAACAACAACAGCACCTTCAATAAGAAGTAAATAGAAAGGAATGTTGAAGGAATGTTGTTGAAAAGAGACGGGAAGGTTGGGACTAATACCTGAATATGTAAGGTGTGGTCTCCATTTCCAATGAGGGCCAAAAAAAAAGTGAGGTGGGTTGAGATGACAATTTTAGGTGAGTGGTTAAACAAGTTTGTAAAATATTATGAGAATTACCCATGGTAACAAGAAGACCAAAAATATTACCATTAAATTTGAAGGTATGTGGGGAATGGTGTTCTTGTAAGGCTTAGTGTGATAAATGTAGATGAATGGCTTCTTGAGGATCGGATTCCGATGTTGGATCAAGGTTAGGTTCAAGAGACAGTTCATCTGTGGACAAAAGGAGAAAACAATGATTAGTGCATTTATGGCTTGGAACAAATTTCTCATAGAATTGTAGCACAACCCAACAATGCTGCATTCCGGCAATTGGGAAGGGTTGAGGCAACGAATGGGTAATAGGGTAGAATTATTTGTATTATAGGAATTGAGAAGAAAGGTCGTGATGGCTAGGCTGAAGAATGATTGGATTTAATTTTGGGATCTTATTTAGCCTCATGAGTTTGGTAAGACCAATAGCTTGGGTCACAAATGTGGGTATAAGGATGGCTAACTCAACTTTAATATCAACATTGAGGCTTGAAAGAAAACAGTTAAAGATGTTTTCAGGAGTGAGCCTAACAATGCGATTGCACATTTTCTCAAAATGTGCTTGATAATTAGAAAGAAAACCAGACTACTGGAGTTTAAACAATTGCCCTTGATGGTTCTTGTACGAAGAAGGTCCAAATCAGATTTTCATGGCACGTAGAAAAGTGAACCAGTCTATAAGTTGGTTATTATAAAGTATCCATTTAAACCAACTTAAGACCTCTTACTACACATATAAAACCCTGCCATGTGAATCCCTTGATCCCAAAGAATCTGATAATACCGGAAAAACTGATCAACCTGAAAAGTCTAGTCCAATGGTTTCGAGCCCTCAAAAGGTTTGAGTTTAAATTAGGGTTACAAGGAAGAAATGTAGTGAGTTGTGAGAGAAAGTGAGTGAGTTGTTCCACAACCCCGACCAAAATGGAAGTAGGAGACTCATCAAGAGAGTCCATGATTGTTTGCAATATAGAATGATGCGAATCAAGTAAGAGCATCATCTCCCACTTATTTGGAAATAGGTTTGGGAGGCATGGAGTAGGAGACACCGAAAGCAACACCAAATTGTTAGGGCTAGTAGTCTCAAACCTAAGGAAGAGAAGGTAGGATCCCTATTTTTTAGACTACTTCAAGACTATAAAAGAAACTGTAAAATCAACAACTTCATTCTTATCCAAATCGTAACTACAACAGAAAATATATGACAAACTAAAAAAAATTATGATCCTACACGTGGAATTTAGGGAATAAAACTATAATTCAATTTCAATTAAAATTCTTTAGCCACGTGATTTCCTTGTTGTCCTGATGGAACTGTTTGTTTGTTGGGCTTGAGGTCAAACATAATGCATATATAACAAGTTTAGGACATGGATCTGATAACGTGAATAAGTAATGATTTGACAAATAGCAATGCAGAAAAAAACTTTAAACTTGAATTCAAGTGAAAAAGATAAACATGGGTTTTGTAATAATGAATCCAATTAATAAGGATCTGTTTGACCGGGCGGGGATTAAAGTGGAATTTTCATATTTTGGAAGAGTGAATGGCAATAAAAGAAGACTGAACAAAACTATAAAAGATGAAAGAGTTTGTGTCGAAAGGCAAAAAAACATGAAGAAGGTATCGTTCTCCATTTCTTCCGCGAAGCCCCAATCGAAGCCCGAACACGTCAGCACCTTGGATGAGTCCCAAAACGACAGCAGCAGAACCAAACACTTGATCACCGAATTCGACCCTTCCAAACTCGCAACCCCTTCCGCCCCCAAAACCCTAATCCCCCCAATCCATAACCAATGGAAACCCCTCAACCCTCGCAGCCAACGACACACCGAAGATACCGCCGCCGCGCCGTGGCGCCGCACTCCGGCGGAGACCGAGGTTCTGCGTAAGCTGAAGCTGCAGGACGACCTGCAGAGGCTGCCGGAGCACCAGGGGTTGGAGGAGTTCGAGGATATCCCCGTCGCGGGCTTCGGCGCCGCGCTGCTCGCCGGGTACGGCTGGCGCGAAGGGATGGGTATTGGGAAGAACGCGAAGGAGGACGTGAAGGTGGCGCAGATCAAGCGGAGAACCGCCGGGGAAGGATTAGGGTTTGTTCGCGATGCTACCGTTCCCACCAACAACGCCAATTTGAATCATTGCAGCTCTGATTTACGTCATTTGCAGATATAATTATCGGAGATCCCACAAATGATCTTAACATTGCATACAAATAATGGTTATGTAAGGTTGAATTAGGTTTATAAACCACTTTCTTAACAATAGTATTGTCTTACTGATCAGTGAACACCTTAGTGGTGGGTTCTCTAATACGTTGAATCCTCCTTTATCTGATTCTCTGGTATTAACTGTTTTAGGTTATGTGGAATAGAATCAGTTTTGAGATCAGGCCTGTGCTTCTCAAATTATGTGTATAGCTGTTGGCTTTTGTTTTCTCAACTATAATTGAAATTTTATTTCATTATCTGTGTTTATTATTTTTGTGCATAGTGCATGCCTGTCAACGATGAGCTTTAGTTCTGGTCTTATCTTTCTTAGTTGATGGTGCTTGGGTCAGTGACTTTGCTGTATGCTATTTGGTACAAGGACAGGACAGGGAAAGATAGATTAAGTTAAGGCTAAGGGGCTTCATTGGGATTTCAATACCTGGGATCAAGTATCCTCTTTTTTTCGATTTTCAAAGCTTCGTTTGTTCAAACAGTTTTATTCGGTTAGCAATGTTTAATAGAGTGATATCAAAAACCAGAATTGAATTGACTTTGGGGTCACTTATATTAGTTTTTAAAATCATAAATATATGTTAAATGGAGGCAATACAATGTGACTTCTGTTTATAGGATTTTTAGATTTGGAATAGGCGATGTGGTAATGAGCAATGGCGTAATTTTGTAAGATTGTTTTGTCTTGTGCTATGGATTTTGTTTACAGATTTGGGTTAGCTACTTGCAATCCAAGTGTTGCTATGGATTTACTCAACCAACCCTTTACTCTTTTTTTTTTTTTCTTTTTTTGATGAGATGAGAGAGACTGAGTTTCTAGGCAATGTCTCTGGGAAGCCATATATTCTATAAACATATTTTTGCAGATGCAACTGACAATTGAGAGGCGAGAATTTATGTGGTTGGATCCCACATAAGACTTTAAGCCATCTTCTACAATCAACAAAACCTTTCTACAGCCTAAGTTGCATTATGTTGATGGAAATAAATTAATCTGATTAATGCACGTATTTAACTGCTCTAATATACAAAATTGAGAAGTTTCATATGAGTAGTTGAATTTGAAAATGTGTTTTTCAATCATTTTCTTTTCCATGCAAGTTTTATCTATTATTGTGTTTCCAAATGGTTTGTTCTTTCTTGTAAGTTTGACTTTTGCATTTTGCAAGTTAATGGTGGATATATGTTGAATATGATTCCTGTAAGAATGTACAGAAATCATGCGGAGAAGGTAGTAACATTTCCTAGATGACAGTCAATGAGTCTGAAATTATGATTAAACTATGTAAATGATCAAATTATATATAATTTTATAAAAAAATCCTGTGTCACATCAGGTATCAAAATATTTGGATATGTGGAATGATTGTTAGAGAATTTTAACTATTATCTCATTCAAGAATATTAAGTGAGTGTAATCTAATTTTAACATAGACATTTTCCCCATACATGTAGCCCAAGTTTCCTATTAGAATTCATTGTTCTTCACTCCCAGATTCGTATGTGATGACATCATGCCTTAATGTTTCTATGAATCCTGACATTTATAACTATTATGGAGTGCTTAAAATTGAGACAAGTTTAATTATATAAATGTTGATCATCACCGAATCAACAATTGAGTGACATTTATAACTATTATCGAGTGCTTAGAACTGAGACACGTCTAACTATATAAATGTTGACCATCACTGAATCAACAATTGAGTGACCTGTATTGTACAATATTACAAACAGAATATCAAAACATGCATAGGTATTTTTTTTTAATAGAAACACCTTGGTTCTCAACATTTGGTTAGTGGCATCCACAGCAGATTGAGCAGGACCGTAACTCTTTGCCTCTTGAGCTCGTCTTTGTTTCATTTCCTACAGATGAGCATTTTAACAAAATTGAAAAAATTATTACGTTGAAAAACATTTCACAGCTTATGCAGCATTAATGTACGATGACAGGAAAAATTTAAACTAAGAACTATCTATTAAAATGCACCCATTGACTTGCACAGGAAAAGCATTATTTTGAAACAAACATGCTCGAATGCATACACACCAATCACACTATGACGGTTGATTCAATTCATTTGTGACTGTTGGAAACGAGCATTTAATGTTTATT